GTGACTGTGTCGAAGCGTGGACGTCCACAGCTCACAAGGAGCGTGTCAGAAGTATCTTGGACAGCATTGAGAAGCTGGCAGCGTCATCAGAAAAAAGACACTCCACCGAAACAGCCAACATCAAGGAGTTTAAGCGGTACCTTCGACAGCCCACTTGCAGCAAGGACCAAGAACCTCTAGCATTCTGAAAAGAAAGAGGCAAGCAGCACTTCCCAGGATTGTGCAAGATGGCTATGAAATACATGGGCGTTCCCGCAACAAGTGTACCAAGTGAAAAACTGTTTCGGTGGCTGGTAACATTTTCACAGCATGGAGGGAGAAGTTGACCTCAGATCATGTACAACAGCTGCTTTTTTGCCTGAGAATTTGTAAACATTCGTGCTTCTTTTAAATAAATTGTTATTCGATATACAAATCAATATCCAGCTTTCTTTTCTTAATTCGATTCGGTATTCGATTCGAGACTTACTATTCGGTATTCACACACCCTTACTCCTCGACCTTAATGACTAGGTTTTCACAAATATACAACAGTTCACTTCTTAGTAGTGTCTTCACTTTCATAATTACTCGATTACTTTGGTCCTGCATTTGACACAGATGTAGGGGATCCCTCTGACTAACTCAGTACTCAAAAATAGGTGATCTCCCACTGAATCCACCTTCTAATTAACTCAGACTCACCGCAACACAGCACCATGTCGTGAGGGTCATCCCACTGCTGCCAATCAGTTGTAAAAGGTACGAGGTTGATGATGGCATCCCACCGCTGCCACCAGTTGTCAAGGGTTCGAGGTCGGTGGTAGGTACGGCGGGTTTTCTTTAGGGTAGCTGGATCCCCGCCGTTGTCCGCATAGCCGATCTTCAGCCAGTGAAGAGACACGTTGAGAGAGATAGAGCGAAGGTTTATTTACATGATAGTTGAAAGATTGAACTGTACAAAGATTCCACAGAGAATCAGCGATGTAGAAAGATTCAGCCGATGATTCAGCAATGTACAAAGATTCAGCTATTATTTACAAAATGTCTTCAGCTATTATAACCCGCCATCTCCTTACACGGCAGGACCAGAGAAGGCGGTGACCACCCTTGCCAGAAATGAGTTGATTAGTCTCAGTGGTCCAACCACAAGAAAGGGTGCAGAGTTAAACCACTTTGTTGGGCGAAAAGTCCGATGGTAGCACGAGTACACCACACAATGACGCACCTGGCCCACGCCTTGAAGATGTCGAAGGACGAGGAGGTAGAGTCCGGTGGAGGGGGAAAGTTGAACTCATCCGGGGAGATGGCCACTGACACAAACGTCAGCAGTGGTCCAAGGCAGTGTTCTGCTGTTACCAGAAGTTTCCCGAACTCGGCAGTCCAGGTGCTCAATCAACGATAACTAGGATTGCGATACTTTCCCACGCTCCCGGACTATCGGTGCTTTTGTGACGATCTCGCGTCGGCGACGACAGCCTAGTCGAGAGGTTGACTTTATGAGAAATGCCACAGTGGCGCTGTCCCACGCTGTTCGAACCCGTTCAACAAAAGAGTTGTCTCGCAAAGCTTTTGTTGAGACCCGGTCGCTACCTGGAACCCCTACAGGACAGCTTCTACCTGACTGGGCGCCGATGGGTTTGAAAGCATCCTAGAAGACCGACTTACGCACAATGGCATCTGCCCAGACGAACTGCCGAGCCAAACGTAACACATGTAGTGATGTGGTTTCATGACATGCATCCCATTATTACCTCTTTTGCACCAGTCACATGCCTTCGTCATCCATTCACGTACTGTAATACCAAACTTGGTATATGGGACGCTAACAAAACGGCCGCGAGGGCATCATGAGCGCAGCATGTGGTCATGTTGCTACATGACACGCATGTCATGATTTTCATGTCACGGTTTGTCGCTTGTGTTCGCCATGCAATTATGCCATACCATACCAGTTTTTCAACATGTCATGTGAACGAAACCACCGCAAGAGCTGCAGGACCATGAACTGTAAATTATGACATTCATGACATGCATATCACAATATTCATGTTATGACTAGTCAAATATGTTCTTCATGTAGTCATGCTCTGCCATACCAAGTTTGGTATTGATACCATTATTGAAACGGCGAGGAAAGCTAAAAGTCGTAAATAGATAGATAGATAGATAGATAGATAGATTAAGCTATTATTTAGAAAAAAAAAATGCCGCCATATCCACGAAGTGAATGATGATGAGTGGGCGAAGCTCCGGAGGTAAACTTGGTAAACCATGAATCCTTCGTACATTTTGCCCACTCGATTTTATTGCAACGCTCCCCCTAGCGTACGTCGCCGCACTATATCGAACGATGACACGCGCCATATGTGGCATCATTCCTATTTTATAACACCTCGCATCTTTCATAATCAACTACACGTACCGCCGTCTAGTTTATAACATCTTGCATCTTTTGGACGGATGGACGGATGGACGGACGGACGGACGGACGGACGGACGGATGGACGGATGGATGGATGGACGGACGGACGGACGGACGGACGGATGGATGGACGGACGGACGGATGGACGGACGGACGGACGGACGGACGGACGGACGGACGGATGGATGGATGGATGGATGGATGGATGGACGGACGGATGGACGGATGGATATGGCTGTACCCTTTAGATCGGGCGGTGGCTAGCGTAATACTACGCTAGCCACTATATGTAGCCACTGTATGTAGTCCCCTGTATGTAGCCACGAGAGGTGGCTACATACAGGGGACGCACAGCCCACGCCTTAAGGAGCTTCGCTCCTAAAAGTCTTCAGCTATTATAACCCGCCATCTCCTTACACGGAGGTCCAGAGAAGGCGGTGACCACCCTTGCCACAAATGAGTTGATGGAGTCTCAGTGGTCCAACCACAAGAAAGGGTGCAGAATCGCTGAAGTTGGCTAAGAAACGCTTCGCATTGAAAAAGTCGGTGGATTCGACTGGAAGTTGCAAGCGCTGCGTGCCTTGAAAGCTTTCGAAATGATGCCAACGTTTGGCTCGCCAACAGGCACCGGTCGCGTCAGTTGCGCCTCGCGTCACAGCTCAAGTTTTGATAGTGTAACGTCGCCGTCGCCAGCGTGTCCACTCATGCAAGAAGAGAGACGCGTACATCACGTTCCAATCTGACGCTGCCATTTGTTCCAGAGGGATCTAGAGTTACTGTATATGTTACCTTTAGGTAGCAGAGTCGCGCCACTGTTTTCCGGGCGCCGCTCGCTCCGCCTGCAGGGGTTCAGCCCCCCTGTTCGCGGAGCGCCATCACTTGGTCATAGGTGGTTCATTTGCACTGCGGAGAAGCCAACACTAAACAGACGACGTGGTTGCTTCGTAGATACCAGGCAGATCAAGCGTGGTTGACATCAGCTATTGTTATTCTCGCCGTGCTTCTCCGGTACTGTAGCTTCCGTTGGTCACGAGAAATGTGGTAGCAAGTTCATTCTGTGTGGAATTTTACTGCGTACAGCCCACGTGATTAGACGCGGGTGCAGCTGGTATTAGTGTTCAGCGAGAAGGAGTAAACGCTTGGCCATGGCCATCGGCAGAATTTTCTCCAGGGGGGGGGGGGGGGTGAACTATTGTCGCATCGCGGCTTAGGGAGAGGGAGAGCACTGTCGCAGCTTGGGTTAGGGCAAGTGCTGTTATGGCTGAAGGGGGCAAATTCCCTTTTTGCACACTCCTGCTGAGGCACATACGCTCGGCTTGTTTTTATCTATCCATGGCACTGCAAATCTAGCTCTATTTGTATTACGCACAGATGCGGTAGTGAATACGTTATACATGCAGATTTGGTCAGCGTGTGTCGGCTGCATACGGGTAAAACGCTAAATATAAATAGGCGAAAGACTGTGCTATTCCAATCGGCAAGGTCGTTGCTGCTAGCGCGTGAATTTAATGAAACATTGAAACCTTAAGCGACGGCGTTCTTGGCGCAACTCTCCTACCTAAAAGTATACCATATACACAGGAACTCTACCACTCGTAGATTCTCGTCTGTTGCCTTTTTCTATTGCACGGAGGTGTGTGCGCCACGCTCGAGTAGTTTCAATGTGTCTTTAGAAGTTAAGGAAGTATGTTAGGTTGCTACAATTTAGAATAGCCCAAACTTCACAACTTGGCTGTCGTTGCCGCAATACATAGCTTCACTGAAAATTCAAACTACGCAGTGTCGAAAGGGTCAGCGAATTTTTCGATAGGCCTTGTGTACGTGAGCACACTTTCACGTAAATCCTGATACTGGCTTTGAATACTACCACCAATAGTGTGACCAAAAGCTTTCGTGTGCAGCACTGAAGGTACAATTCCATATAAATTACGAAGTATTGGTTCATATTCGAAATAGTGTTTTTGGGTCAAGAAAAAACTTACCGTTGCTTTGTTAATGAACACATTCAATTTCGTCCTCATAACTCATTCTTCACACTATGGACTCAGTAGAAATGAGCATATATATTTAGTGTAGATGTGCCTCGTTTTTACTGATACGCTGTTGCGATACCAGTCATAAGCGTCAATCGTTCGACCAACTCTAAAGCGACCGACCCCTATTAGCTGTTGCTCGTCCATTGAAGTTCACGAATCAGGAAACCGCTTGATTCATGACGACTAGACAGTTTTAACTCCCATGAAATAGCCGCTGATTCTCCTATGTCGTTGTGCGAAAAACTATTTAAAACCGTTCACCTATTCGTAACCCTTCAACCATCACGCGGGAATTCTCCAAACTGAGTAATTGTAAAGAGATCCATGTTACTTCCTGTATGAAAGGGCAGAGAGCGCGTCACAGCGCGCAGACGTCATATACACAACAATGTACTAAAACCTGCACGTGGAATTCACATGTTGAAAAGGATCGATCAAGTAACTGCATTTTTAACTGTCTTGTTTTTGTTTTTCTCAACTAGGCATGTTTTGTGCCGAGCTTACCATATAAATTACTTTGCCGAGAACACCCGGGTGACATTGAGATCAAGTGGGCAATCCTATGGAGACTTTAACAGTATTTATACTTTCAGTACTTGCCATGCCAATAGCTTCGTTTACGAATCTACACGAATTTGTCGAAAGGGCCAGCCTTATGGAATACCAAAATCCTTGGAAGGTGATTATTTCCTTATGTCTCTTTGTGTGATTGCTTTTGTGACACTGACTTCTGTATTATATATATGAGTGCTTGCGGAGTTTTGGTGCTTTCAAGCCATAGGATTTCTCATGGTGTGCCCATAAAGCTGCATCTTCCTTTCAAGATTGTGCTACGCGAAAACGAGATTGAGCTTCATTAAGAAAATGTGCGCCTTTGGCAGTGAATCATTACGTGGAGGCCTAGAAAGGAACTTACCTCTTTTGTAGCTTTCTTTACATGTTTGTAGTAGACAAAAAATGCGCCATGCCATCAATTTCTTCTACTTGCAAGGAATACAAAACCTAGAGCAATTTTAGACAGCATCATTTTCATGACGTCCCTCTGAAATTCAGAGCAATAAAAATAAGCTGACAGCTTCAGAGTGATCACTATGGTTAACGCGCGAGAAAAAACGTGAGATGGCAGTCACTTGACGGACGCGGTGTTCCGAAAAATATTGGTGCCTGGGTTTCGGCACAGAATGTTTAAACAATCGCGTTTAAAGCGCCGCCATCACGCTCAATTCCAACACAGAAGCATTTCGCCACAAAAGTTTTTTAGTAGTATGAGTTTGGAAGCGCTCTTTTGTCAGTTCCGAGCATCCCCCCTTCGCGTGCTCTCGCGCTCCGCTTTCTCGGTTTGATCATGAGGCAGCCCAGAACGTGCAAATAAGCAATATTCCCGACCACGCACACGTAGGAGCACAGTTATTATGGTAAAGTGTCTGTATCGGCCTGATCGCAATAACAGCTCTTTGCAACGTGATCTTGCAGGAACTAATGAGGCAGTCGGCACTTTGGTGCGCTTCTGTGACACTTGCAAGCTTCAATAGCTAGCGCGCGGCGTATTGTCGGCATGCACGAGAATGACGCCCGTTGTTCCATTGCCGTGGTTAATTTGGGGCCAGCAAAGTGAGCAGATCGCCGTTGCCACAATTATTTATTTTTTTTGCTGTCACGTCCACCAGCCCAGCAGCTTTCTGAATGTGAGCCGGCGAATTGCATCTGCTCGTTTGGAAATATTGGTAACTGCATCGACTGTCGACCTTCATGCAAAGAGAAGTTCCACTGTTATCAACGAGGAAGGTTCTCTTGCGTTTGCCTCGGTAAAAGTCAAAGGCCCAGAGTTTATGAAATATTCGACCTGAGCCAGTACTGTCAATACTTTTTTTTCTTTGGGACAACCAGTATACATATTCGGTATACAACCAGTATACAACCAGTATACATATATCAATCAGCCATTATACAAAGTTACCTAGGGAATTGGTGTTAAGGCAAAGAAAGACACACAAAGTACAAATCCCTTCTGTATACACATGAATAAGTGGTTACACGTAACAAAACAAAAGAAGTTAGGATGAACCTTTAATAATCCTTCTCACAGCTGAATCTCTACAAATGGTACGAGGTGCTCTAACCATCTATTCTGTAGGAAGGAACATTCGTTGCAATGAACTTGCACGAAATACCATCGATGATAAAGTAGCCAATGACTTTTTCTTCAGGGGACACTCGGTGCATACGCCATACGTCTCCCGAGAACATGTGAAAAGTTCAGTCATGGTAAGAGTGTACCACGCTAAGCAATTCTTGTCCAGCTGTGAATCATCGTAGGCACCGTAGAAAATACCTGGACGTCGTTTTCGTGACTAGCTTGAAGTTCAAGACTCCGGACTCAACGCACCTAAAAGTTGCAATGTAACACTTCGTGTCACCTGTTTGCTTAGCATGAAACACCATCGATTTTCGTCGTCGGTGGTCCTTCACGCACTTCCTTGTCTGGAGCGTCACATAACTTCTTCATGACAGAATATACGTCACAGAAGACGATTATGTGTCCTGCTCTCAAGTAATTTCCTGTAATAAGGTCATTCATTTTGAGCAGTTCTTTCTTGGTGTGGAGATGGTTCTCAAGGTTTTCTTGTCGAGTAATTGCGACTTGTCAGTTCTTTTCAAGTTCGAATGCGTTGCTTCCCCATTACATACCTGCCGTTGAGAAGCTTAGCGGTTTTCTCAAACTGTGTTATGGTAATTCCCTCTTCAGGCGGCTTGCCTGTTTCTGTTACTCGCTGGTTCTGGACTTCCCAAAAAGGCCACAGAAACTCATCCGACTTGGCAGTTTGAACTCTAAGCGCAAACACCACACTGTAAGCAAAAGTTAGCCGAGATGGGAGTTTCTCCAGCACATGAGCCCACAAAACTCTCCTACCCCAATTATTTACTCCCTGGTAGGGAGTGAACCCGGCATATGTCGTCGTAAAACGCCCCCTGCTTAATCACAGAGTTTATGAACGACATAACCTTCTTAAACTCCCCAGGGAGTTTCAGGTCACGTGGTTACAAACTCCCTATGGGAGCTTTAAAAACCGTCTTTGGGCGTGACGTGTGTGTGTGTGCGTGTGCGTGTGTGTGTGTGTGTGCGTGCGTGCGTGCGTGCGTGCGTGCGTGCGTGTGTGTGTGTGTGTGTGTGTGTGTGTGTGTGTGTGTGCGGGCATATGTTTGCACGTCAGTGTGAAACACAGGTGCTTTGTGTGGCTAACCGTGTGAGCATCTGTCAACAGGCAACGAAATTATAAGTGCAGCGAAGAATTGCAACGACCGGTTGGTATTTACTGTGAACATTTCAATATAATACACGCCGTTAAACCACGCTCCACATCGGTCCGATTCCTCAACGAAACGCCGTGAATGCCACGCTTCAAAGGGCGGAGTAACAAAAAACTTCGAAGATTACATTAATGGTAGTAAAAGTAAGCTGTTACGATCATGAGCGGCTGCTCCTGGAGTTTCTCTGTGAAAAACTTCGAAGCGGTCTGAAGTAAGCTTCGCTCGACCACGGCAGGCTGGCCGGCAACCGATGTGAGAGTTGCGCCGGCGACGCACTCGCCCCGTCTCCACCGATGGTGGATTCTCAAAGTGCCACCGGAATTTCACCGGCTGCAACATCTAAGCGGTAGGAAGGCCTCGCTATGCCGTCGGTATCAAGCCGGCATTGTATCGAGTTCGCACTGAGTGCCGGCCGCTGTGGCAAGCGCTACGAGCTAGCACCGACCACCGGTGTGGCAAAAAATGTGTTTCACAAAAATAAAGGCTGCTGGGATGAATAACAGTCTTCTGCGCCTTACGACCGCAGCTGTCAAATGACTAACTACAAGGAGAGCGCCGAACGAGGCGGAGTACGATCGTCAGGGATTGCACCGTAAAACTTCGAAGCGGTTCGAAGTAGGCTTCGCTCGACCACGGCAGGCTGACCGGCAACTGGTGTGAGAGTTGCACCGACGACGCGCTCGCCCCGTCTCCGCTAATGGTGAGTACTCGGAGTGTCACCGGTATTTCACCGGCTGCAACATCTAAGAGGTAAGAAGGCCTCGCTATGCCGTCAGCATCAAGCCGGCATCGTATCGAGCTCGGACTGCGCACCGGCCGCCGTGGCGAGCTCTACGAGCTAGCTAGCACTGACTACCGGCGAGACAATGAATGTGTTTTACAAAAAAATAAAGGCTACTGGGATGAATAACAGACTTTTGCGCCATGCGACCACAGCTTTCAAATGACTAACTCGAAGGCGAGCGCCGAACGAGGCAGAGAAACACGGAAACAGCGTACGGCATGCATGCATGCCCATGCAATGCGGGCGAGCAACGGGAACAGCGACTGCGAACCGTCTCGTTAGTTTAAGCTCCGTAGCTTAAACTACGTGGATAGCGGACACCTATTTCTGTGCATAGGAAAAATAACGAGACGTAAACGGTACACCGGCAAGCATTTTGTGATCGCCAGCTGTAATTCATCGAATCACCGTGCCATATTCGTGAGTGAGGAGGCTAGTCGTCGGACACGGTAGCGGCGGTCCACCTCGGTTCATCGCTGGAGGTGCTGAATGAGCCTCGTTAATGTGTTCATTCAAGGCCGCGCGGGCTTTGTATATGATTCAGTGCAGTTTACGGATTCACAAACAGTACTGATAATGTAAATTCAGCTCGTACGACAGAGCGCCAACTGATAAAACTTTTTCGCCGTTAAATCAAATATTAAATAATAGGCAAGCTTAGGATAAAAGGCATGTGTGTTGAAGTGCTTACATCAGGCCACGACAACTTCATACCCACGCCGTGCGTGTTTATTGTTCAATTAACAGCAAAAAATGGGTCCCTTTAGGGCTACATGGGAGGTCAGAATGTGGTGCCTATATATACCCGGGGACTTAATCGTAGGTGTGGAGCGCGGGTGGTAAGCTGTGGTGAGTGACAATAAAGAAAGAAAAAGGTAAGCTGTGGTGAGTGTGAGTGTTGCAATATTACGTGAACGTTGCGTGCATGTTTGTGTACTGTAATCATTGTTGTGTGCTTTGAAGGTAATGCAATTAAAGTTACGCTTGCGGAAGGTACGGCTGCTGACGTAATTTTTTTCTCGGTCGAAGCAAAAAATTCACTCCCATACTGACCTGAAAAAGTTCCTCGATGGATGTAAACAAAAACCCCCCTGGCACCATGCAAAAACTCCCTTCTATTGGGGAGTAAATTTTTACTCCCTCTAGACGGTGTTTATAAAACTCCCATCGGGGCGTGCGCCAGAGGACAAGGTCATTTACTCCCGCCTCGGCTTATTTCTGTTTACAGTGCATGATTTGTGAAGCTCTCAGTCGAGACATCAAGTGTGGTGTGCTACCCCGCTAGGTTCGTTCAAGCTGAAAGTTGAGTGCAATCAACGATTCGTTGCCTTCGCAACGTGAACCTTCACCGGTGAACTTTTCGCACATCTCATCCGAACCAGTTAGTACGCTGACGTCACTTCTTTTGATGACAGATGAATGTATGAGCTCATTAGTGACGCCTTTTTTAATCTCCTTGAAAGATGCGATGAAGGGTACGTCAATTGTTGTCTCCTCAATTTCCTGACAGATGCACGCAATCTCTGATGTTCGCAGCACCAACTCAATGTTGAAAAACTGACTTCGCAGCCGGAGTTCTACAATTT